CGGCCGGGCTCTGGCAGGGGGGCTGGGCTCTTTCCTTTGGCCTTGGAACACGGTCCTACCTATGTGGCTTTTGCTCCTGCATTGAGACATCCCATTTTCTACTTGTCCCTCCTCGGAGGGGACTCTAGACTTCTGGAAGAAATTGCCACTTTCTCTTTCCAGGGGCCACCATTACAGCCCTCTCTCACTCCGTATCTGTGTTCACCCTCCTCTGGGGTTATGTCGCTGTCCGTCTTGGCCCATCACTTCGAGGACTACCTAAATTTGAATTCCACGGGGCCACTCTTGGTGGCAGCCATTCCCCTGGACGGGGTCCTTCCCCCAGTTCCCCTTCTTTTCAAGTTATGAATTGTCCCATGTGGGGTCAGGTGACCTGTTTCCCCCAAGTGGAGTACTGGTTGCTGACCGCTCTTCCAACTCAGACTGCCAGTGGGATTCTCTTCAAGGTGCACTCTGCCATGTTTAAAATTCAGAGACTGCAGGGAGGAGGTGGTCCCTGGGACCTGCCACCTTAATACTGTTACTGCCATCTAATTGTCCTGACATCTCCCTGAAAATGGGTTGGGCTGAAGGGATGGAATTCCAGTGAAGGAGAGAAGAGTGCTTGAGCACCTGGAGTGGACAAGCTTGGGAAGGCAGGGCCCAGACCCATCTGGAATGGATGGAAAGAGGGGGCATGAGGCTCTAGAGCAAGCAGGGTTCTCAGCCCAATGGAAGCCCACAGTTTGAGAGTCTGGCCTCTGTTCTCCAAGGCTCTGGTTCTTCTCCCACCTCTCTTTTACATTCATCCTTGAGGAGTCTTGGTTTTATGGCTAGGCCTCCAGGCGTGGGGTGCGTGGTGGCACTCAGATGAGGAGAAGAGGCACAGGCAATTATATCCCAGGATCACCTAAAGTTCCATTATTCTAATAGCACCCAATGAATTCGCTAATACTTATTAAGTACTTGCTGTTTGGCACTGTTCTAAAGCACTTTATCTGTACTTTAACATCCTCGAACAATCCCCATGCGATAGGTCTTATTAGTATCTTCATTTTACAAATGAAGCTAAGAGAGGTTGGGTAGCTTGCCATTAGTCACACAGCTTGTAAGTGAGCTATAGAGCCAGGACTCAAATGCAGGCCAGCTGTCTTTAGAGATTGCACTCAACCCCCTGCCATACTGCCTCCCAAGCTCCCACCATGTGTCCAGAGGTGAGTGGCACAATGGAGTACTCCAAGAAATGAAACTCACATGTACACACACACAGACACACACACACACACACAGATACCTACCTTTGTTTGTACAAACGTGTAGCCACATTCAGTGTCACCCCTAAGTGTTCCCACATGCACACAACCTCTTCCTCTCTCTCAGGCCAGGCACATGAGCATGCACAGATTATATGCATGGAGGGAATGGAGACCAGATCTCTCCCCTTCCCTCCCTCTTTGACTCAAATAGGCGGGGCTCAAGCTTCTCTGACCCCTCCTCGTTCCCACTGGCTCCTGAATCCTCTCTCCTCCATGCTCCCCTGCCCTCCAAACCTCCTCCCCCAGCCCCTTCCTGGCCGTTGGCTGCAGCCTGAAGGAGCAGCTGACTCCACTTAGATGCTGGCAGTCCCTGTCCCAGATCAAAGGCAGGACGGCTAATTGTGCGTCTTAACAAGCACCCCTCCTCCCTCCATGCTCCAGGCAGCCCAGCTGGCCATGGCCCCACCCCTCTCCCCCTCCAGCTGGCCAGATGGCACAGTGCCTGCGTCTGCCCCAGACAGCCGGGGCCAGGACCGAAACTGGGGCCCTGAGTGGGAGCTGGGGGGCAGAGGCCCAGCAGTCTGGACTTCTCTGAATCTTGGATGTTGGAGCAGAGGGTGGTCACACAAGCCCTGCCTGGTCACCACTAAACGTGGCTGTGACAGCTGCCAGAGGCCATGGGATGGTGTCTTTAGCTGCCTTGGGTAGGTAGGGGTGTTCTATGTAGACTGTAGACTACATTTTTCCAGATTCCTCCAGGCCTGCCTCTGAATGTAAAGAGCCTGGAAGATGGTGGTTGGCCTGGAAGATGGTGGTTGGTCTAGGCTGGCACATCCCCCTAGACCAGCCTCTTGCTCTTTCTTGGTGCTGTGCATAGATAGGGCCATGGAAACTGGAAATTGGGCTGGCTGGGTTTCTTACTCAGGAACATGTCTTCCCTAGAGCCAAATGTCCTTTAGCAGCCAGTTCCCAGGCCTGGGAGCTGAGAGAGCTGGGCCTGGGTCCTGCTCTGGTTCTGCTCTGTAACCCCTGTGACCTTGGGCATCCCCCTTTTGCACAGTGTGTGTGTGTATGTGTGTGTGTGTGTGTGTGTGTGTGTGTGTGTGTGTGTGTTGGAGGGGGAGATGATTTCTGAGGCTTGGGCTGCTTCTGGAAGTCTGAGTATTGCCATTTGTCCTAGGAGTGGGCTAATGACTCCCCTAGCAATAAGGGAAGCGCTCAGAGTTCCACAGCTAAAAGGCAAGGGATAAACACTGGGTGTGCTCCCCAGGGACTTAGGTCTGCCATTTCTCTTGGGCCCTACATCCCATGTCAGTGTCTACTCCTCTTTGGCTCCCACCAATTCCCAACATCCCCTTAAAAGGCTCCAGCCCAATCCTCATCCCCTCCTGTCTGTTCATAGCTGGGCTCCTTACGGAAAAGATCTGGAGATGCCACAAGCTGGAGAGAGAAGATAGACAGGGACAGCCTGCTTCATGGGCTTCTAGTGGCCCATGTGATTTATTCTAAAATGGGTCTTGAGCGTCTGGGCTCTGTCCCTGACTGGGGAAAACAAGAAGCAATGGCCTAAAATTACAGCAGTAGTGAGTGAAGTCAGACAACAGGAAGAACTTCTCAATAATGGCTAATGTTTGTGCAGTACTTACTATGAATAAGGTGCTCTTCTAAGTACTTTAAATTTACTAACTAATTTAATCCTTGGGACAAAAATGAAGCAGGTAAAAACAATCTTGTCTTGCAGATGAGAAAACTGAAGCACAGAGGTCAAGTCACTTGGTCAAAGTTGGGTAGCTATTAACAGTTAGTAAGTGGAAGAGCCAGGATTTGAACCCAGACAATCTGGCTGCTTGAGAGTTCATACTTTTAACTACTACACGTTTTGTCAAGTTTTGTTGTTGTTGTTGTTGTTGTTGTTGTTGTTGTCATCGTCCTCGTTGTTTTGGCTAGACAAGAAAAGGAGGACAGGACCCTATGATGCAGAGGGTGAGGGTGAGGGGCAGGTTTGGGCTAGGGTCTCTGTTCAGTCCTGGTTGGCTCTCTGAGGGCTACGGGAACTCCCAGAGCATGTGCTTCCAGGCTTCAGCACTAGGGTGGAAGGATCTAGAGTTTTTTTCCTCTGAATCTCTGGCCTCCTGCAAGCCATCAATCTCCAGCCAGGTCTGGGCTTCCACGACAGGTGCCTATGGCACAGGTGAGTTCTCCTCTTCATATGGAGGCTCTCATTGCTCTTGGCTTCTTCTCCCACTGCCCACACTCTCTCGCTTCCAGAGGCTGGTCAGAAACTTGTAAAATGCTGCTAGCTGGTCCCCTCTCAGATGCAGAATAAGGAAGAAGCAGCCTGTGGGGCCAGGAGCCAGACCGTCCTCTGTAAGTAGGCCTCCCCCTGCCACAGGCCCAGACCTTCCCAGAGGATGGCTCAGGCTGAGAACACCGAGGAGAAAAGTAGTGTAGACAAGTCCTGGGCCCCTGCAAGTGGTCGTCAGGGGCTTTGTGCTCCAGAGCATCAAAAAGAAGGTGTCTGCCTTAACTCACCCTTCCCTCTCAATTTTCAACACTCCTGCAGGGCAATGGGCTTATTTCCAGCATTCCTCAAACAACCTCTTCAGATGACCTAGACCCACTGCAGGCAGCGTGGCTGGGCAACGCCCATTTCCGAGCAGATTTTCTGGGATGTCCTGTGGAGAGGAAAAGGGGAAACTCTGCTGGCTCTTTCCTCTGCCTCTTGAACCTGGCAGTCAGGGAGTGTTCTGTAGTGGGGCCTAAGGGGGTGGGGCCTAAGGGGGTGGCACCAGGCAGGCAATCTTGGGGCCGGGAGCTGTCGGAGGACACCCTCCACTTATTTACCCTTCTGCCCATGAACATCTTCTGGGGCCTGGAATTCCATCTCTAGTCATTTATTTTTTAGCTTAAATTTTGCCTTCTTTCCGCAGGCTTATTTTTAAATTGCAAATATCACATGAGAGGTAACAGATGAAGTCCCTGATCTGAAAAAGAAATGTTTCCCAGATACTTTATGCCCAACAGGAGAGAGGTAGACACGAATTCTGAGCTTGCTAAGGGTGATGTTAGTGGAACAGGGAGTGAAGTACAAAAGAGGACTCTGGGGAGACCTCCCACACTCCACCCTGCATGCAGAACTTCTGATGTGATTTCTGCCCCTCTTTGAATCTGTGTCCTTGTCCCAGACCTTCCCCCAACACTGCGCCTCCATTTCCCCTTTGTGTGGTAAGAAGGTTGGGCAGAGAGGGCAGAGGGATGAACGTGGAGGCCCCTGAGAGTCCTTTCCCTGGATCTCCACCCTCAGGTTTCCGAGAGAGTGCCTTCGCCTACGCCATCGCCGCAGCGGGCGTAGTGCACGCGGTGTCCAATGCCTGCGCCCTGGGCAAACTGAGGGCCTGCGGCTGCGACGCCTCTCGGCGCGGGGACGAGGAGGCCTTCCGTCGGAAGCTGCACCGCCTGCAGCTGGACGCGCTGCAGCGCGGTAAGGGCCTGAGCCACGGGGTCCCGGAACACCCAGCCCTGCCCCCTGCCAGCCCGGGCCTGCAGGACTCCTGGGAGTGGGGCGGCTGTAGCCCCGATGTGGGCTTCGGGGAGCGCTTCTCGAAGGACTTTCTGGACTCCCGGGAGCCTCACAGAGACATCCACGCACGCATGAGGCTCCACAACAACCGAGTTGGGAGGCAGGTGAGAGCCCCACACCCGCCTGGGCCTGCTCCAGATCCCTCTGCCTAGGGCTCCTCCCTTCCCCCCAGGCCTTGCTCTGGGACCCAGAGCTCCCCCCTTACTCAGCAACTCTCTCATTGTCCCTGCCTAATCCAGTCATCAAACATGCATTGGATACCTACTGTGTGCCAGGCACTGGACTAGTCTGGGATGCAGGGATGAGAAAAACCCTGTCCTGGATCAGCCTGCTCCCTTTTTTTTTTTTTTTTTTTTTTTTTTTTTTTTTTTTGTGGTGAGCACTGGATGGGGGTGGGGGGCGGACAGGGCTGCAGACAGGGCCTCCGGGGCCTTGGCCTTGCTCTGCCTCTCTGTGGCCTCCCCTATAAAGCAAGAAGGTTGAACTGGGTCATCCAGCTCCCTAGTCTCCCCTGCCCTGGCCCAGCTCTAACGTTCCATGATTCTGTGCTATCCTATGCTGTGACCCTCTACCTGTTCTCCCAGCCTTTCTGTGCAGAATGAGGGATTCCTGCCAGGGGAGGTTCCTCGGGGCCACTGAGGTCCTGTGTTATGGTTACCTTCCTCCTTTTTCTCCCTATCCTTGAATGTTCATACTCCCTCAAAGGTCATAAATTAAAAAAGAAGAAGAAGAAGAAGAAGAAGAAGAAGAAGAAGAAGAAAGGAAAGAAAGAAAGAATCAATCGCTTGCATTTATTGAGTGCTTACTATGTGTTAGGTACCGTCTGGAGCACCACACCACATCACATATTAGCCTTTTTAATCTTTACACTACCTATGAGGGTGCTAGTAGCAGCCTCGTGTTCAAATATGGAAAGTGAGGTACAGAGAGATGAAGAAGCTTGCCCAAGGTGGTGCAGCTGGTAAGGAAGGGATAGAGGCGGATTCACCGCCAGGCAGCTGAGCCTTTCGCTCCGCAGGGTCGACTGCGCTGGGTGCGTGCCTCCACTAAGATGCCTCCTTAGCCTTCGTGGTAGCCCAGCACCCTCCTTTTCTGGCTGTTCAGCCCCTATGCCTTCTCTCGGCTCTGCCTGGCCTGCTCAGGCCTCGTTTCTGGCTTCCCCTCACCCGGCCTGGCACCTGTGCCTCCTGACTCCCCTTTCTCCTGTCCTCTGGACCCGTTGCTTCACCAACTCCTTCCACAAAGACTCGGAGCTGATTCAGCTCTTCCCATCCTGACTTAGAGGTGAAGTAAACTGAGGCATATCCACCCTCAGGTCACATCCAGCTTCCACCCAGCCCTGCCCTATTAGTGCAGCTCTTTTCCCAAGCTTCCATGCTATCCCAGCCCATACCAACAGTGCCTCCTACTCCTCGTTAAACTGGTTAATTAATGGCTGCTGTCTGTGGGAAGCGAATGTTCTGGAGCCGTTGGCCAGCCGAGGCCCTGGGCTCGTTCCTCCGTGGTGTTGCCACCACAGGCTGCACCTACAAGCTGCGGAGCCCTTTTTT